TTTCTCTCTGTTCCTGTTGATGTTTATACATATATATGTAGACAATGATTAGAAGGATGGAACACCTTTTCTATGAGAAAAGGCTGAAAGTGTTGGGGTTGTTCAGCCTGGAGAAGAGAAGGCTTTGGAGTGATCTAACTGCAGCCTTCCAGTGCCTGAAGGAAGCCTAAAAGAAAGCTGGAGAGGGACTGTTTACAAGAGTATACAGTGATAGAACAAGGAGGAATGGCTTAAAACTGAAAGAGGGCAGGTTTAGATTGGATATCGGGAAGAAATTCCTTACTGTGAGGGTGGTGAGACACTGGAACAGGTTGCCCAGAGACATTGTGGATGCCCCATCCCTGAAAGTGTTTAAAGCCAGGTTGGATGGGACCCTGACCAGCCTGGTCTGCTGGAAGATGTTCCTGCCTGTGGTGAGGGCTAGTTGGAACTAGGTGATCTTTAAGGTGTCTTCCAAATCAAACCATTATGTGATTCTATGATAATGTAAGTGTTCATGTCTGGTAAGTGATACCATGTCCATACTGTTCATGCAGTCACTTGAAATCTACACACCAAGACTTAATGTCTTTTCTTTTCCAACAGCAGGCTACACTCAACAGGAGTAATGGCATTGCTGCTGAAGGTATTCTTTATCCCTTACTGGGCACTGGGGACTTGCAACTAGCCGTTTAAAAATTCTGGATGCTTCTTGGAATTATTTGCATGCATGGGCAGTAAGAAAAGAGTGTCAGACACACGGAGCACACCAGTGTGCAGAGGTACACCAGCTCACATAAACTGCCACATCAAGGCTACTGCACGTAGGATTATTGATCTGTTATTACAGATTAGAACAGCTCATCTGAAGTGTAATGAAACTGTGTTGCCTTGAACGATAAGGTTGCAAATACATTCATAGTGGTGCCACTGGAGTCTGTGTCAGAATCCACCTCCTGTCTGCTCAGAAAGCAGTAAACCAACTTCATCACAAACTGGCTAGGGAAAACCCTGGGTAGACTAGATGACCACAGGTGTTATGATCTTGCACTCTTTTCACATAGGAGAGAGTGATTTAATAGGTATAAATTTTGGTTAAGATTTGTCTAACTCTCTGCAGAATTTGGTGCTCGTACGTAGTGTTCTATGCTGCTTCTCAAAAGTTTTTTTGCTATTCATGTTTATGCCCAGGGGAACTATCTAATCATTTGAACATAGACAACTTGGCAGAAAAAAGGGATCAATCTATGTGATGTATTTAGTAGTACTTATTTACTGCAGTCATCCTAGAGATAGGTGGTTATATGGCATATCAATACCGCCAGTAGTGAAAAATGTGAAGGTGTGTGAAAATGAAATATAGGAATTTTATGAAGTAGAACTGATAGGGATCACTTCCAGTATCAGACAATAACCTTTTTACGCATGATATTGGAAAACATTGAAAAGATCCTCAGAAGCCTGTGGTACTTTTAATGTAGCTTTTTCACACACTACTAGATAAAAAGTTGTGTGCCCATACTATAGGAGGCAAAATATATACTGCAATCATATCATAGATAAAAAGTGTGTGTGTGTAAACAAACTCAATACCTCAAACCACTTTGTTTTCACAGGGAGATTGCCCACATATATTTAAGAGGATTTTTTTTTGATTACTTGTATCTGATCAACTGAAAAAAGCAGACAGTCTTATGAATAGGGTAGAGCACACTTCAGACACACTCAGCATACTTTGCTGTGTACATCTAGATTGTACACACTGAATAACTTCTGCAGCTCCAAATTTACACAGCAATGTTACTAAAGCCATTAGACATGGCTTACAACTTCAAACCAACATTTTAACATCTCTGAAGCACACACAATTTTTCTTAAAGCTGTGTGAAAACCTGCATTTTCACAGTCCCTTTGGGGTTAACCTTCTGTAATCAATACAAGCTTTTTCCCTGCTTCTCTACTCACTGACAGCACCAAGAAGGCTAAGGCTTTGGCTTTGTGTCAAATTTAGGAAAGACTTATCCTTTTTTTCCTTTTTTTTTTTTTTTCCAGAAGGTGTCAGAGGAGGTAAAACGATATTTCCAAGTTTTTTTCAGTGCCAGAAATTCCCTTTCTCATCTGCCTTACTGACCACAGAGTGGGAGATAAGAGAAAGCCTGGAGTGTGGGGCTTCAGAGTAAGTGCCAGCAGAAGGTTCCATGGGACTGCCTGTGATCAGCATTTGTCGTTCCGAAGTCCACCGGGGCACATAGCCCAGTATTAAATCTAAAGCCCTTAAACCTCCTTAAGACTGCCCAGCTGTTTTGCAGGCATAGTCTCAAAGACTTAAAAGTCGTGGTGTACACTGGGGATTTTATAGCAAAACTGAGATCCACGCCAAGCCTTTGGTGGCTTGAATGCATGGATATGCTACAGGAGATTTCTAAGAAGCAGCACATGCTGCAGAAAACTCTCCTGAATACCAGCAGATAGGAATTAAATCTGTGCATTGTTGCATACTTTTTCACATCCATTATAAGGGATCCATCAATCACGCTTCCTAAAACCAAAGAGAGCACATAGATTTATTATTTCCTCATAAAGGCAAGAACTTCTGAAATAAATTGTCACAGCCACAGTCCATTTACTGGCAGTGGTAAAAATTCTAGTAAACCTTTTTCTTTCACTCTATCCTCCCATTTTACATAATGGAGCCCTACTCCTAATTGTTTAAAATTCATACTCCAAAGGAGCTGAACAAATGAATGTCTGGAAGTGTTAAAAATACTTTTTTTCCACATAAAACAATGGTGTAAAAAAGGTATTATATATTTAAGAAAATTATTTTCATTCAATGGCATTTCTCACATAAAAATTGTTTCAATAAAAATTTCCCAGCCACTGCAAAGAATAGGTGAATGCTTAAATAAAAGGGCGAGTCCTCCAATTAACCAGTGGAATTAACATTAAAGCAAGAATACCTTTGTTTAAATAATGCTGTCAGAGCAAAAGATCATCACTATAAACCACAGTACCTTTTTATTTGCAAAGTTTTCTACTAGGTGAAGGGGATGGTGTGTGTGTGTAGGAAAGACAATACCAGCTTTAGGACTAAATCAAAAAACTTACAGTTTTTATATACAAAAGATATATATATATATATGATAGATGCATAATTTTCGGAAGAGAATGAAATGGTAGTACAGCATTAGATCATCACCTTTATGCAGATTGGAAGGTGCAGTTATAGCAATGCTGTGAATTCTTGGCTAGGTAATGTAATGTAATGTCATGCAGAAATACCATAGATTTTGTTATTGGCGGTGAATGGTGCTACATCCAGTTGGTGGCTGGTCATCAGTGGGGTTCCCCAGGTTCAGTATTATAACCAGTCCTGTTTAATATCTTTATTGATGTGCAGGGATACCCATCACATGGACAAAACTACAATTCCCTGGTGGTTAATGAGGGTGTAAGGATTGATGTAGTCCTCTTATAAGCAAATGTCCAGCACACCATGTGTCTTAAATTTTGTTATTGGAAATAATCACTTCTGGTACTTGCAGTGTGCAAGCACTGAGGCAGAGATGCTGGTTTATTTTGATAGCCATGCTCTCTGCTCTACTTGATTATGCAGTTTCGGAGTAGTAACTATAACAGTCACATGTAGATTCACTCAGAGATAACACTTGTGCTAGTAAACAGTGTAAATGATAGATATGCCCCCTTGATGACTTTTTGGCAACTATATTAATGCCAGTTTAACAAAGAAAAAATGACAAAACCAGAATGCAGCGCAGAGCAAGAAGCTATTTACTACCTTTCCCAAGAAAATGAGCTTTATCCTGCATGCTCTGTTGGAACTTTGAGAAACTACACAAAGCACTCCTGGTAAATCTCGACAAGCTTGTTTAGGCTTTTGAAAGGTCTCTTTCTCCGATCAGGAAGCCAACAGTTATCACAGTTCTGATGTGTGTATAGCACAGAAGAAAAAGAGTCTTTGCTGTACCTAAGGTCCTTCAGATAAAAAGTAATTGCAGAAATCACAGAAAAATGAAGTCTGGCAGCAAGCAGACTATTTGTGGCTTTTTCAGAGTCATTGGGGCCCCTTCTTTAGATGCTTAGAGCATCTGGGCAGCTTTAGAAATACATACTAGTTAAGACAGAGGGTAGCCACTGCAGGCTACTGAATAATAGTAATTCTGTTTTAAAATACTGGTGTTTTTATCATGTGAGCCAGTTCTCTGGCCAAACATTTAGAACTGCTGCTAGACTAGGAATGACACATTAGTGACCGCATGAGGTGGGTCATGACTGTGGGGACAGTATGTGTTTGGGGCATTTCAACACTGTGCTGCATTCCAAGTGCACTGTATATAAGTTGAACATCTATCTAAAGCAAATTATCCATTATCAGGGTATCATGATTTTAATGAAATACTTAAATCTTCTTAGTACGATTATAGCAAAGCATTATTCATTACAAACACACATAATAGATTCACAGATTTATTTGTGAATGTCAGAATTTTCTTTTTTTTTTCTTTAGAAATCTCTTCTTTGACAGTCCTAATATCCTCCATGGTTTAATTTTTAAGGCAATTCTCTCTATAGTTCTCCTGCTGTAGCTGTAACAATGCAAAGTAGTGATTAAACATATATCTCCTGCTGGCTAAGACTCCTCTGTGATATGTTCTGGGATTGAATGCCATTCTATTTTTAAATGTTGGGCAATTACATAGCAATAAGTTAAATCTGAGAAAGGCAGTAATGCTAAAATGAAAAAAAAATACAATTTTTTTCACTGAAGTAGAATAGGTAAAGCAAAAGGGAATTTTTGCACTGTGTAGCAAAAAATTCATGGTGTTTAATATGAGAGAAAAATAATGGATTTTGAAGTAGATGATAAGAACCTACACTTAGGTTTTTGTGGTGGACACAGAAAGACACCTTTGTGATATTATTCATAGTTCTAGAAATTTCCTTGAAAAATGTTTTATTTCTTTAGCTATTTTTAAAGCAATATTGTTAAAAGAGTGAATCACTGCTTGCACAAAAATGTCTGTAGGAATAGTTGATAGACCCAGTTATCTCATTAGCAGTCAGATAACAGTTCCAGATGAAGAGGAGGCACCGGAGCTACAATAAGAACAAAAATTATTATTTATAAGAACATGTCACAAAGTAATCCTTGAAAGTGCTGAAAATTCAGAAAACTTCTAGACATATATGACCTAGAAGTATCAGCCATGTTACAAATGTATGTAAGTTTTGGATAATACGATGGGAGATTTGACTGTTGAGTCAGCCCTAACAAAGATGTAAAACACATACAGGGGGCCCTTCACTTCTCCTAGTGCTGCGGATGTGGCATCTTGGCAGGTTCGCACTGACAGGAAGTATTAGGCTTCTTATTTCATGTCCCAGCATTGCTAGAATGAGAAAATTTATCTGTGTACATCTCTTTATACAGAAAAATATATAAATATATATAAAAGAATTAACTCCCTGGAAGAAAATTATGATAATATTAGAGTTTTTTGCTCTCACGGTATTACCCAAGTAATCAGATAGTTCAGTAGCAATACTGAAATTTCTTTCACCTCATCATTAGCCCTTCTCATTTGACATCCCCAGCAATTAACCCCCGTGCCCCGAGACAAAGTGTCACAGTAGGTAACAGAGACATCGCTGCCAGCCCTAAAGCTACTTCTGCCAAAGACTGGGGACTGAACATCGTGATGGTCAGGGCTCAGGATCCTGGCTCTGTTGTTAACCTGTAATATGATGGTTCTGCTTCCTGTACTGCCCTCACCTTTCCCACTTGTGTCTGCCTTGTCCATGACAGCTGGTTTGTTCACGGACACATTCCTCTTGCTGTATCAGCAGGGAGGCACTCTACTATACTACTACACTATCCTCCTATCCTCCTTCCTTGTCAGGACCTGCAGCTGGTAATGCAACATGAAGAAAGAAGACATGACACCCTTTTCTGAGCTCTATTTTCATCTTCTGAATTATTTAAATTTAGTTATACATCTGTAAATAGAGGAACATCTAGAATACAATGCAATAAAGAAGAAAGAAGTGAATTGTTCACTGATACCTGAAGCTTGGTTGTTCTCCAGGCTGGGCAGCTAACACCTTCCAGCTAGTGCTGGTGCAGTTGGGCACTTCCCTGTGTAGTTAGATAAGGAGAGGTATGTTGTTCATTAATTCGTGAAAAGTGTTTGCTTGTTAGTTTCACAACTTGGGAAGCAAGCATTTAAAGAGTCTGCAACTAAGGATTTGTGAAGGACATGTACTCAACACATACTCAAGTTCAATTTGAATGTTGTAGCGAGATCTAGGGACAATTAGGCAAGGTTTCTCTGTTGTCACAACAGCAACTTGAGCGTGGTCAGAGACAGCAGCAGATGTTCAGCCTTCTCTGCTTACTGATGAGCATGGCAAAGCCTCATTCAATCCTGTAATATGCCTGCTGCAGTGCTTCCAAAGAAAGTACTGTCTCAGAGAACTATTCCTAATGTTTTGCCTTCCCAAGAACCTTACTTTGATTTGTTATAGTTAGATTTTATGTTATTATTTAATTATTTTTATAAGAGCTCACTGGCTTAAAGGTTGGTAAATAAGAAGATTACAGATAATGGGAAAATAATTGCTTTTTCACCTGATTGCCATGAAGGTAAATAAACTGAATGCAGACTATGAAGCACCTGGAATATTGACTCTGATTTTTCATCTTGTGCCCATTAATGCCAACAGCAAGTGAAGGCTTAGAACTTGCTCTGGGGCAGCAGTGCTAATAATACAAATTACCTCATATTAGTAAAGAGCACAACTAATGAAAGTTAGTCATGGTTACTGTTGTTTTGTTAGTGAGCTTTCTTCATTTACAATTCATTTACAATTCTTCATTTATTTTCTGCTTTCAGTTACATTGTGAACTTGCGTTTTCCTTTTTTTTAATAGATATTCCTGTATTTGTAGTGTTCTAAGGACTCCCACTGATAAATGCTTACATTATTTCTCATAAAGTTCTTAAAACAGAGTGCCCTTTTCTGTTTGACTTTAACAAGGTTGAATGTCAATTTACTTTTTCCTCTGTTTCATAAATACATTCCATTTTATTGAAGGTTCCTGGCAAAAAAGAGAAACTCAAGCCAAAGTCTTCAGTGAATGTTGCATTCCTCAGATGTAGATTTTGCTTGGTTAACTGTGACAAATTTGCCATGCTAAGCTATTGCTCTCTAGCTTAATGCACAATAGGCAAGATTAAAACAAAGTAAAATAATGTAAGATAAAGTAAAAAAGTTTGCAACATTGACAAGTTTTAGCACTGCTTAACAGAATCATTTTGGTTTTGTGAGGTTTTACTACACTGTGGGGAAAGTTGCCTACTTGAACCCTGTGCATATAAATGATCATCATTAAGCCTACCTTAGACATTCACATTGAGGTTAAGGTATTAAAGGGATGGACAGCCACAAAGATGTGGCTGCTCTTACACTTTTTCTGTTTTTACTGACCTTGAATTTGATTGTCTTTTAGGGCATCTGAAACCCTTAATGGGAAGGATTTGACAACTAATTTTCTGGAGCAGCCTTCTAGTGATGAGAGAAGAAAGCTAAGACATGTAGTAAGTGTTAAAATGATTCTTGATGCATTTATGCGTGTTATATATATTTAGTTGTGTTAGGAGAGACCTGGGTTCAACCAGAAAATTGTTGAATTTTTGTATTGAAATTGTTTCCTTTACCATAAATTTTGTATATTTTCATTGTTATTTCTTTGCCTAACTTTTTGATAAGAAGTAGAAGGAGGGACATAAGGACATACAGGCTAAGTCATTATCAATTACAATTTCAAATTAAAGTACAGATACCTGAAAGTTCAGGACATTTACTGATGCAGGAATATAGCTAAATCTCACCACCTAAAGCTCACAGGAAAAAACTATTCTCAGAACCTTAACATAAGCCATATCCTTCAGATTTGCATCTCTTCTCAAAGAAAATTCATATGACATTTGGAACATCTTTAAAGCTTTTGGAGTATTATCTGACATAAGGGTTGGAATGAGCTGAGAAATAGGAGTCATGAATCTTTTCCCTGCCCTTGCACTGACTTGCTGTATGACCTTGAGCAAGTGGCTCAGGCAAACACCTTAGGAGTTCTCTCAGATTTTGTGTTCTCTGACTGGTATTTGTTCATTTGTTTATTTAGATAATCTGCTTTTCAGGTATAAGTTACAAAAGGAAAGGACGAGGAAACCAATGGAGTTTAACATCATTGGCAGCCAAAATGCATGGTACTCCAACCAGCATTATTTTAAAAGTGTTGCATTAAATTCTGTGCCTCAGTTATGCCATCTCTGAAAGTGGAAAAATAAGGTGGATAATAAACTGCTCATGGTTTGAAAAAACATCACCACAGTAATGCAAAACACTATTTTATTTCAGGGTTTCTGACTGCTGTGCATAACTCAGGGAATCTTCACATTCTCCTGAACAAAAAAATCTATCTTCTATTTTGCCTCCTACAAAAGGGAAAACTTTGGCATGCTCAAGTATGCCTTAAAGGCAATGCTGCCTTTGGGATCTCACATTAACATAATGATAAATGTGCTGTGTATTGCTTGAAAATGCTATGTGCCAACGTGTCAGAATATGTTTTCCCTGCACACCTCTCGATTAGCATCCTATTTACATACTGGCAGGAAAGGGATTATGAGAAAGACCTACGAAATAAAGTATGTGTTAATATGGTCTTCTCTAAGGCCACAGTATTAGTTCCAAAATCAGCTCTCTGGTGGCATGTCCTTCCAAGCTAGTGGGAATGTGTTACATGTTTTGAAGTACCAAATGCATGTGTGTTTCAGCAAGTAGTAGTAGTGGTGACACGCTTTTCCAGCTTATACTAGTGCTGTATTTACTGTATAATTAAGACTCAATACATACCTTGGACAAAACCACTTGCCCACATTCCCTGGTGTATCACAGGACAAAATATCTAACTTCAGTGGAATTTTCACTGGTTTCATCCATTCGAGTATTATGGAAATAAGGAAGAAAATAGTGGAAGCATCTAATATCATTAGTAATTTGTTTTTTGTTGCTTTTGCTTATGTCTTTGTATATTGATTATTCTTTGCTTTGGTTTTATTTGTGTGTTTGTTTTAAAATAATTTCCTGAATTTCCAGTATCTCACACTATTCAGAAGCCCTAAGCTCTAGATACCTATTGTAGCAGGGGCAAGCATGAAAATACATATGCAGTAAAAAAACTAACTGAAAAGATAGTTGCTATTCCTTCTTTGTAAATTAAAGATACTGTTGACGTAATTTATACTTGTACAGTGCTTATAAATCCTTTTTATTAGAAAACCTTCAGGTTGGGGATTTTATGGGCATATCACTCTATCCTATTGAATTGAGTCAAAATTAATTTCAAGATACAATTTACAAATAATATAAACATGTAGGAACCTGCAAAGAATACGTGGTCAAAATTTGTATGAAAATCATACCACATTAACAGACTAAACAATTTTGTAGCATCATGGCAAAATGAGTGTATATTTGCACCTCTGAGAATAGATGTGAGAGAAGTTAATGAAGTAGCCTTAGCAAGATGCCTTTCAGGAAGTAGCCTTTGAGGAAGATGCTGCTTATGTAAGATATCCTTTATCAAATACAGCAAAAAGAATGTTGTAACTCTTGAGATGTGAAATGATCAGAGCAGGTGAGCCATTTAGGGAAGCAACAAACATCTTATTTTAGAGCTGCTATTGTGGTTTAGGGACAAAAAAAATCCGAAACCCTTCTCTGAAGCAGACATAGCCTGGATGCCATGCATGGAGATGCCAGAGTGGAAAAGTTCATGAGAGGAAGGAGAGAGGTATCAGTCACCACCTCCTGAAAAGGGCATAGCAGAGTTTGAAGAGGAAGATTAGATAATCCAATTTGTTCTTCCTGAGTTTTATATGAAAACTATAAAAAAGTGGGGTCAGCGGCACAAACTGAAATTGCAGTTTAGAGGAAAGACAGCTCAAAAAAGGAGATACAGATTTATGAATATTTAGAATAGAGTTAGTAGATTAATTCATGCTTTCATTGACTTTTACAAATGGCTCTGAGCAAAGAATTGGTTCAGGCTATGATAAATATTATTTTGAATGTTACAATAGAATGCACAGTAAACTAATATCCCCTCAAGCAACGAATGTAAATACAGTTGTTGGTATTATATTTCCAGAGGTTATGTTATTTTAATCAGCTCTAGAGAGGACTATCTCTGGGAAGTGCTGCTCTGATGTTGAATGTTACTGGCTCCTACTGGCGACTATGATGTCTGAAACTAGAATAGTAAAGCTCAGAAAATCTGGAGAGCTGCCAGATCCAGCTGAACTCAGTGGATCAAATTCTGATGGTTTTACACATGTGCAGCTGTGTTGACTTCATTAGGGTCTCGTGCGTATAACAAAATACTTTCTTCTAATATGATTATATCAGGAAGCTGGGATTCAGCTGTATCTGATTTATTATTGCATTAGATATCAGTTTTTCCACACCATACTTGCCAATAACATCTCAAACGAAAAAAAAGAAGTAATAACACCTGGAAAGAATATAACTTTAGTAGATAGATGATGGCTTTGGAAAATGAAATAGATTAAATAGACAAAAGAAGAAAAAACTGATAAAACTGTCAAAGAAAAGAACCAAGGCCAGACAGTGCAGCTTAACATCTCTGCTGCCCTTTCACTGATGGCCTGACTTAACAGCATGCATGCTGAAGAATTTAAAATGCAGTAATAGCTGAAACAGGGTCATTACAGACAGTGGGTGGGATTTTTCAAGCACAAGTTGAGCACTCTCTCAAGTCCTTGATGTTTTAGCTTTGGTTTTTAGTAGGTGCACAGGTGGGCCGACCCTTGTATTTCTGAACTGACTCTCAGAAGCTGAAGCTGGATGTATGTTCAAGCCACAGAGATGTGTTTTCTACCTCATGTTGTGCTTCTGATGGATTCTCATCTTGCATGATTAACAGGGCTGAGAACTCAACTTCAAGGAGTTCTTGAGAGAGCTGTTTTAAATTGATTATTTTGCTGTTCAGAGGCTCTAGTTACACAGCACTCATTAGTGACAACTAAGGCACTGAATAAAGCAGACCTGT